TACTTGGATTTGATCTGCTCAGGATCAAATTGTGTCTCGTCACACTGAGCACAACCAGAGGGGTAGCCAGAAGGATGAGTGGCTTAAAGCCAGTGACCTGGGGATATTAAACCTGGAATAGAGAAAATTGAAAACATGCATTATGCCATTTTCAAATACTTGAAGTACACTACTGTGGAGGAGAATTTAGAGGCAAAATTGGGTGGGAAGGAGTTTTGGGGAGGTAGAGTTCTGACCCCATTGTCCCCACATGGAAAAAATTTGTCCATGAAATAGTGAGTTCAGGCCCAAGCATCTTTCATCCTGGAATATTGCATTAGCCCTCTGTTCTCCCTCCAGTCTGCTTCACCTCCCCACCATCCAGCTTCTTTACCGTTCCCAGATCCATCTTGCTAAAATGCAGAACTGATAGCCCTCAGCTGTTTAAAATTTTTTAATAAAAAATATCCTACCAGGGTAAAGTCCAACTTCTTTGCATGTTATGCAAAACTTTTTACTGTTTGGCTTCCTCCTGCCTTACAGATTTCACTTCCCGCTAGTACAGGGTTCTATAGAGTTTGCCTGCACCATACTCAGATGATCTCACGTGCTTGCTTTTGGTGGTGTTTTTGTGAATACCTCTTGCACTTTAAAGAGTTTGGCATTTTGTGTCTTGCCATGCCCAAGAAGGTACTCAAGATCCTACCTTGCCTTGTCTCTCCAACTTTGTCCCCTACCCTCCTCTCCTCCAGCCACACATTCTTCTTCTTCCTTGATGGACAAGCTTCTTTATCCTTCAGGGACCTTATCCAAGCTGTTCCCATTGCCTCCAGTTCTTTTTCCTTGAAAACCTGCAAATCTCCTGTAAATCCTTCTGGTCCCAGTGGTCAGGTCTACTTCCTTAGGGACTCTCCCTCCAGCCCTAAGATTTGATTAGATATTTCTCTCATGAGTGATAGTATAGCATTCTGTCATTTTCTTCATGGAAATTATCCTCCAATGTAATTACAAAGCCTTTTGAGTATTATTAATTCCCTGATTGTCTTGTTCATTAATTTCAGTTCCTACCACAGTGCTTGGCGCACAGTAGGTGCTTAATAAATAATTGAATGAATGAATAAGGAAATGAAGCCTTTCCTGATGCCCCAGGAAGTGTGCTGACCATTCTTGCCTGTAACCTTCCTTGTACTTTAAATCTTACATCCTGTATTGTAAGTTGCTCTGTGTGAATTATGTGGTGGAGGTGTGGGAGGGGCATAATCTCTTGCTCATTTTTTGTATCTCCACGTATCAGGATAAGAATCCTAGTTCACTAGTTCATTTACATCTATCCTTATTACCCTATATCAGTACCTTAATACCCTATCAATAAGAGGGATATTAAAAAAAAATTACAAGTTGTGATGTAGTTTTTTAAATCTAAGGTTTTTATTAGAGGTACCACCTCTAGTGCCATGCCCCAAAGTGTTGGCATGGCAGGTATTATCATTGCAATCTCTTCTGAGAAACGTATTTCAAACATCTAAGGTATATATTCTAGTGGTTTGTTAATGCCTATTTCTCAGCAGGCTTTGTTGGACTTATCATAAGCTTGTATTGTTTTAATCTCTTTCTTGTAGAAAAAATATTTTCAATATTTTAACTGAAAAAGTGCAAAAAGTAATTTGATGATAATGAAAGGAAGTAGGCAAGTGGTTTAATGTATAGATTTTCATTTTACTGGTCTTTTTTTTCCAGCCATGCTTGTATTCCTTAAATCACAGTATTTTATTGAGATGTAATTTACATGTTATAAAATTCACTCAGGTGTACAGTTCAATAATTTTTAGTAAATTTACAGAGTTGTGCAACCATAACCAGAATCTAGGTTTGTTTGCTTGTTTTTTTAGGTAAATCACAGTATTTTAAAGAAGAAATATTTGAGCTTTTTTTCTTTTCCAGATCCCACTTAGAGGCCTCTCTCTTAGAAACCCTTGGCTTATTGGTATATTCCTAGTGGCATTTTATTTGGTGGTGCTGGTGGAAAAGTTCAGTCTGGGAGCTCGTATCTGAGTGAGCATCTTGAGCAATGAGAGAGGCCATAGGACTCTGCTTCCTCCTGCAGATTGACTGGGGTGACTGGCTGTCACCACTTGTGGTGAGGCCGCAGAGGGGATCGGCAGGAAGTGGGAGAGGAAATGAGATGTGGGTGGAGTGGGAGGAGAGGAGCAGATGGGGAAGGGGAGGAGAAGGGGAAGAGAAGGCAGACATACTAGGAAAGCCATCATGATTCTAAGAAGATGTGAAAAACTTGTCATATTTTCTGAGTCAGCTTTTATACTAAAAATTGCAAATGGGGAAAAAATGCTTCTTTGGGTCCGATTATGGGAGTACTTAGGGCTTCTTCCTCGAGTGTTCATTTTTTCTTTTGTGATCATTTGCCCTTCTCAGTGGTGCTCTCGTGTGTGGTATAATGTTACTGTGTGGCTGAGTGAGCATCGCTGGGGTGTTTCCGGTGCTCTCAGCACACAGGGGAGGAGGCACTCTTTGCCTTAGGGAGCTTCTGTTCAAAAAGTCCTTAAGCGCCACATGATTCGCAGTTGTAAGCAGAAATAAGGAAGTAAAATCCTGAACTACAGGTGAAGTTCAAATGTGGTATTAGCCCATGGCCATTGCCATGAGAGAAAAGGAAGGAGCTGAGTCATGACTTCCATTGTTACTTTAGGTTTTTAGCAAGAGTTTCTATAAAAGCGTCTGATGTCAGTGTTACGGTTCACTGGTGTGTTTCTGGTTTTCTCAGTAAATGTACTTGATTTTCATGCCAAGTCAGAAAGATATGCCCACTGCCTTAAGGCATCTTTGCTCATCTTGGCAGTTGGAATCCAGTTTATGAAGCAAGAGTTGAGTGATCTTTATGGTAGAAAGGCCCTAAATACATGTATGTTCTGTATCTCTGTCTCGTGGAAGTGTTCTTTGAATACTTAATGTAGAGTAGATGATATTTCAGTAATAGGAGGTATTTCAGTAATATACAGATGGCACAGAGTAAGAGCTTTCAGAGATTTTGAACGAATGGATGTGTGAGTGGAATGAGAGAGATGCATGTTGCATATGTGTGCATGTGTTCCTTTGGCTTTCAGTTTCTGGGAAGTTTTGAGCAGCCATTATTGAGTGTTGGAAAGTAAAAGGTGGAAAATTCCATAAAAATTTTTGTCCATAAACTCACTTTTGAGTGTTTCAGTTGTCCTACATGTTGTGTTTTTCTCTGCTTCCCAAGTGCTGCCATTTTTCACTGCCCTGACAACCAGATTTGTCCTAAATCTAAACACGCGTTCTGTGCTTGGCACATGGTAGCTGCTCAGTAAACATACATGGTCAGGCTGACTTCAAGGGAGAACCACTACCATTGGCCACTTTATTAACTGTCCCTCTATTCCTTCTAGTGCTTCCATGAATATTTAGGATTTCTACTTTCAGAGAAAGAGGAAAATGAATTATTTTACTCTGTCAAATATTTTATTAAAGAGTAAGGGTAGATGGAGATACCTGTAAAGATTTTGGGGTTGCTTCATAAGCCCTTGTTTTGAAACCGACTTGCAATCTAAAAAAAAATCAAAGGTATATAGTTTAACGATCAGAGTCCATTAAAAGTGTAACATTACACTGATCTGTTATTGGGCAGTTTTCATTGCATTATTCATAGGCATAATCTCTTCTAGGAAATCAAGAGTGAAAACACCACATCTAGATAAGCTAAAGCAGTTTCCTTTTCCATGTCACCTCCCCCACTACCCCTACACAGTTGGGAGGCAAAAATAGTAGTCACCCTAGTTAATCCTAGTAACTGTATATCTAGGGGCTTTGCGGTGTAATACCAAGTAAGGGCAAGGGGAATTTCACATATAACTGGTGGCTTAACTCTTTGTATGTATTAAGCAGGACGATAGCTGAGCTTCGTACTCACTTCAGGTCAGTAGAGAATGCTGGTACATTTCTCAACTGGAATCAGCCAAAACAAGACTCTTCCCAGCCACACAGAGGAGTACCTGTTTCCCAGCACAGTCTCTTTGGCTCTTCATTTACTAAGCCAAGTTGGAAAAAGTCCAGAAGAGACCTATTTTAGACTGAATTTGAGTGTGTGTGTGTACTAGAGTGTTCAAGTGTATTTAGTTGGGAATAATATTTACATTTTAGGGGTACTTGTATAAGCACTTGTGTGTGTCCAGGTGTAAATTGCCTAAATGCAGAGACTTCTGTGCTATATAATTTTTTTTCTAATATCATCAAAATTAATAATTTCAGATCGTGCTCATTCTCTTTAGAATTGAGTCATGGTCAGAGGGGTTTTCATATATTATCCATCCACAGTTTTCAAAAGAAAAACAACTTAAATTATATGTTTCAGTTTTCCGATTGCATTTAAAAGAAATACCTGAAGTCCTTAAACTTTAGTGTTGGCAAGAGTTGTACATTTTTAATATCTTTCCAATATGCAGCCCTTCATGACAGGAATGAAAACATGAGTGCTTTTTCACATTTACAGAAGAAATATAAACATTGAATTCTATATGTCCTTCTAGTGTCTGCTCTAACAAATAATCAGGAGAAAATGTAAAAATAAGTACTTATAGGGAATATTTTCAAAACATGTTTTATGTAGGTGGCAGAGAAGAGGGGATACAAAGAAGGCAGGTGGGATGGGTTATGTTGTTTTGTTAGTATTAGTGGAAGATACTGAGTCAAAGTGCACCACTGACTTGAATGTAAAATTTAAGCTGCTTCTACCAGTTGTAAGGGAGCATCCTTCATTGGGGGCGCAGGGATGATAGCTGCAGTTGGATGTTCAGTTACTTTTCAGCTTTATAGACACAAAGATTACCCTAGACATCTAGTCATCTACCACCTGGGGCTTTTATTTGAAATATGGAGACCCCTGAAACCTGTTTTGCATGTAATTAAAGTTAGAGGACATGCTAGGAAAAGCTGTTCTTGACTGACTAGAAAACAAATAATTGTATTCTGTTTCTGATCTTCATTTATAGCACCAGCAACAAGTGGTGCAGGCTGTGGAACGGGCCAAGCAGGTGACCATGGCAGAACTGAACGCCATCATTGGGGTACGTGGCCTTTCCATTTTAGCTCTGATCATCTTAGTGTTTGTCATCAGCTCTCTCTCGCTCTCTTTTTAAATTTTGTTCAATCAAAAGGGCAAAAGGCAATAGAGGACCACAAAGTGGAATGAAGCACTTTGCCTTCAATCGCACACAAAATTTGATGGCTTCCTCAGAAACTGGACGCCTTCTCACCAATTCAAGCTGACAGGTTCCTGAAAATTCTCCCCCTAAGGAGACTGGGTAGTTCTTTTTCATAATATTTCTTTCCTTTGCAATCAGCCTTTGTTGCTAGCCTAAGCCAGAAAAAAAGACACAGATTGCCCTGATGTCAAAGTGGCCTGATTTCTTTTATCTTTCCTCAAATATATAGTATCTTAATATCATTTTTAGTGAAATAAAATGTACATTTTCGCATCCCCCTGCTGCTCTTCCTCCCCTGTGGTGAGTGGTTCTTAAGGACCAGTGTCCATTTGTAGTAGAAATAATAGATGAACTACACCTTTTTGCAAAATCAGTGGCCCAGTTAGAAAATCCTTCCTAGTACCATTAACATTGCATAAAAATCCTGCTGGAATTCATGGGTTTGGGCAATCACTCCAACTCCACTTATGTTTTTGTTCTCCCAGATTAAGGTAACAAGTAATAAAATAAGGTGTTAAAACTTAGAAATAAAGGCAAGAAATCTTAGCTGAGAAAAGCACAGTAGTCACATCTCTGTTTATGCAGCTGGTCTGAACAGTTCCTTAGGTTATCCTAATGAAGACACTATCACTATACTTATTTCTTCCTGCCCCCTCCCAAATACTTTCTCTTGTGTATAGATTATACACAAAAGTCTTTTCTCTTTTTTTCCCCTCAGTGTATCAAACACACTTTGAAATGCTAATTATTCCATTTACTTTCATTAAAATTCAAATTGCTGAGTGAAGATGCGGATAAGGGTCGCCTGATAATCAATCTGAAGTGAAGATATTGCTTCAATTATACCTCTGTCTTTTAACAAGGAAATCAGAACTCTGGGATGACTGCCGATGGTGGTGGAGCAGTAGTCTGATTGTAGCTTGTTTTTTAATGGGCTATTTTGAGCTCTATTTTGTGTCCCTCTGACCACAAGAAAATACTGGTAGTCAGTTAGAAAACATAATAAATGGAAAAGAGTAACCTTTATTTTCTCGGAAGTGCTCCTTGGAAAGAAGAGGCTGAATCAGAACGAGCAATGCGGTGGAGACTCATTTGTCCTACGTTTTCTGTGGTTCCAGTGGGGTGGGTAGGGGAGAGATGGCAGGTGAACACAGTTCACAATTAGTTTTTCTTTCCCCAAAATTCCAGAAAGCGGCAGTGAAATAAATTTTTTAAAACGTTGAGAAAGCTTTCATTTTAAGGTTAGTGTATACATTTGTAGCAGCTGTGTTTGCTTGAAGCGTGTGTTGTATTCTTATTGGGATATATTTTGGTTATCAAATCTCCCAAGGTCACCAGGGATAGAACTTCCATTTTTCACCCACTCTACCGTCTGCTGTTGCTCTTGAAGGAGAGAATGCGTGCTTGTGTGCGTGCGTGAGGACTGATAGGAGAGCTTGCTGGGTGGTTTCTGGCTTGGTGTTTATTTTTGTATGAATTGCTAAAATACAGGTAGCCATCCTGCCTTATATGTCTGGTTGGCGGCCTTTTCTAGGAAAACAAATCTTTTATGTTTCTTTTTTGAGTCTTATTAGTTACTGTCTGTACAGTGGGAAGATTAAGTCAAAAACGTTTTGTGTTGGATATTACTTAAAAATATGAGGGAAGGTATAAAATCAGAACAAGTTCCCTTCCTTTCATCACATCGAGTATATTTTTAATACTGTTTTATATCTATTTCATTTTACATACTTTGTTTTGAATGAGATGACAGATTGCCTTTTCTCAGGGAGAGGATGATTTATTAGACTGTAGCCGAGTAACTGACAGACAAACTGTGTATATATGGATTTAATTATTAAAATAAAGCTAATTTAATTTTGTGACCTAAAAACTTATTTGAAGAACTGACTCAGTAGGGCTACATGCTGTCAAACAGCATGTGCTGTAGTTAGTGGATCTGGTGGGAATTCCACATTATTTATATCTGAGCAGAAAATGGAATCAAAATCACATAATCTGACTACTCCGGAAAACAGAATGCAGAAATAGAAAAAACAAACCCAGCCGTTTTAGGGAGCTACAAACCAAGTGAGGAGGAAAGGGCCCCATTTCAGCCAACTCACTTGATGCATTTCTGCTGCTGCTCTTCTCTGTCCTTGGTCTTTGTCTGTTTCAGCTCTGTTCAGTGCCTTGTGTCTAGTAGTTTCAGACTTGTGACACTGTGGAATTATAAATGCCCCTGCTGTTCTCTGTCCCCTTAGGCATGGCTGTGTTGTGAGGTGGTGGTATTTTGACCTGCTACCAAAAGTGATGAGGGATCAATTTTAGGTATTCGTGACTTAATTTTTAGGTAGTCGGCAGTGATTTTTCTGCACAGAGGGAATGACTTCCTCTCAGAGGAATTTTCCTCCTGAGAGGCAAAGACCCATCTAAGCCCCTGCAGACCTTCATTTATTTGTTGCTGCATATGTATCTGTCTTTTATGTATGCACACCATCCAGACAAGCGCAAATGTTCCCAAATTTAATGAAATCTGATGAAGCACCTTTTTAACTCTGCAATATTATTCTACCTTCGTTGGTAAATGAGCCAAACCAGTGATCCATGCAGTTTAAATGCAAAAAGCTGAAGTGAGCCCGAAACCTGGAGAGGCGGCTTGTTCTCTTGACAATAAGCTAGTTGTGTTTAATGGAATGAAACACAGTTATAATGATTTCTTTCACAGGTCATGTTCAGTTTAAAACTATTGATAGATTGAAATAAGTTAAATATCATTTATCTTTTATTTATAAGTAAAAAACCCAGGAAGATGCCTGTGTTGTTTTCTATAGTTACTATTTTGCGTTTTGTTTTGAATTGTGCGTGTTTTACATTTCCTCGAAGCTTTGCCTGGTGTTCCCTCAAATGGGCTTGGGAGCGTTATGCATCTGGTTAGATCTTGTCATGTGTCCTGCTAGCCACTGTGTTTTTAAATTAGAATCTCTGTAAGATCACACTGTTGGAACAACACACAAATTGTAGTTTTAAATCAGTAATATGATCTAATTAGAAATGATGTTTTCATTTCCTGTATTATTAAATTGAGTCATCTGACTGTCTTAAAATGTTTTTTAAATCCATTACAATATATAATCAGCACATGCTGTGTGAATGTGGTTATGCTTAATAAAGGAGACTAAGTTGGAACCTCACAAGAATTTCACCGAAGAAACTACCATTAAGAAAAAAGTTTTGTTGGTACGAACATTGGTGAAGGAAATGTTTGGCTTGTGAAAAAATAGAAAATGGGGTTCCTTTGGACTCCCTCCTCTTCTTTTTTAACCTAACTCTTTGAGGAAAGAAATGATAGAAATATACATTTTAAAAAAACACACCCCCCCTTAAAAAATCCATAAGAGCAGGTACACACACCGTGGTGTTGCAGGAAAATGCAGTTTAGCACAAGAAATGCTGAACCTCAATTTTTAGCAGTGACATTTTAATGATAGGAAGTCTGCAAAATTATTTGCCATCAATTGTGAAGGCAATAACAAGCCTTGGTGGTTTTTCACACTCTCTGTGTTAAGTGCTTTCAGAATGACAGCGTAAACTGTGTTAGAGAACTCCAAGGAAGTAAAACTGATTAAAATGTTCATGCTTGAATGGTGCTGATGGAATAGTTCATTTGGACTTTCTCTACCTCCTGCAGCTCAAGCTGAAATATTAAAATTCAGTGGATTTAAATCTCTCTCCTCTCAGCTCAGGAAAAAAACATTACATTTTAATAGGTTTTAAACCCATAATTCATTGGTTTGGAGCAGCACTATTAAATCTATTTAAATATTACTTGTATTACTAAGGAAATGATTTAAATGACTATGCCTTTACCATCCTATGTGTTGGAGTTAGTTTAAAAAATGAAAGACAATATCCTTGGGTTTTTTTTTCCTTCCTCTTAGCATTTTATTTTATTGTCCTTGTTATATGATTAGCCCTTAAATTATACCTACACATACACACACATATACATACATATATACGTATCCATTTCAGATTGGCATTTTGGCAGAGTCTTGCAGTATGACAGTTTTAAAATGATATGTGCCCCTCTTTTTCCATTGTAGATTTCAAAACAGCCATTTTAAGTTTCTGAGGCATTTACATACACCATTGTAATAATTTCCCTTGTTGTTTAAGTAGCCATTAGGCAAAAAACAAAAACAAAAACAAAAAAACCCTGAAAGATAGTAAATATGTGTGTATGTAATAATTATGTGTGTGTGCTTTCTCCTGCCTTATATCACAGCCTCTATCCAGTAGCACAAAATTTGAAATAAAATTACAAAGCAAAAATGTATCCAAGAGCCATATTTTTATCTCTTCTGTGTTTGCTAATAAAGGGCTTTCCAGAGGTATGATTAATTCTGCCGTAGTTTTGCTGTTAACCCTTTTGGGTGCAGATATCCTGGCAGTGCTGAACAGGTGTTGTCCTTCCTGGGCCCACCTCGTACCCCTTATTTGCCTTTCTCTCTAAGCCATTGCCATTATAACGTTTCCCCAGCTGCACCTCCCTCTGCCACCCTTGAAGCTCTTGCGTTTATTTCCCCAGGGCTTTTTGTGGGGAATCCAGTCTTCACTCAGGCATGGGAGGTGTGGAAGGGTGAGGGAGTTTCTCCCCACCATGGATTTACCTATACATCCTGGACTTACAGGTAAACAGTCAGTGGAGTGCTCCCCTACTGCCCCTTGGGTGGGCAGTTTTGAGGTGCTTTCTATATTCATTCCTTCACGAAGGGTCCCAGCAGGATGGAGTTCAGTTGTTTAAGGTAGTGATCGTCTACCTTGTGTTGAGTTTCCCGCATTCCCTGATTCATTTTCCCTAGGCCCCACTCCTGTTCTGG